GAAGCGAAATCCCTCGACTGCAAAGCCACAGAAAGTGATATTCAAAAGGCGATAGTACATTTTTTGGCGGGAGCAATTGGTAGATATAGTGGAGGGAAGCCACAATGGTACTTGCTCTAAAAGCTTGTGCAACCGAGAAAGTATCTTGTCTTTTGAGAGTGAAAAATAAAGTTTTTTCTAGTTTACCATCAACATCCGATTCAGAAGAATCAAATTAAAATTTGTTATTGTAATATGTGAGATTGTAGATATGTTAGATTGTAAATATGCTTATATTACTCATTGAATATCATATTATATAATAATACCCTTGCTTGGTCAACTATGTCGTAATGTAAGCAATGAAATGTAGTTAATACATAATGAACAAAAAATTTAAAATTTATTTTAGAAAAAGATAAGTTTAATCTGATGCTAAAAGTAAAGTATAATTTTGTCCCAGTGAGAATGTCAACTATTAGAATAATTAAAAGCATTAAATTTCTATATTTTGATTTCTGATTGTCACTATAGTCACAAAAAGAAACTTCAATACGGAATTTCAATAACTGTAGTGAAGGTTAGCCATTTTTCTGCAAGTTCTTTTCCTGTAGTGGTTAGCCGCTGTTTTGCCATCACTGGCTAGCCGCTGTTCGCCATTGCTGGTTAGTCACGTCTGGTCCATGAAAATCCTCAGAGCAAAACGAAGCTTCGCCAGCGTTGGCAGCCGAAACCGGTCCAGCGCGGCAGCCTATACAGGACCAGTGCGGGACCTCCCCAGTGGGCACCCGACGTCAATCCGACGTCGGATTTACGTACGATTTTCATCAGCGATGTCAAAAGACCTATTCCGACGTTGTTCCGATGTCAGTAAAATGACGTCGGGCGATGTCTTTATCTCAACATCCCCTGACGTCGTTTCGATGTATTTTGACGTTGTTCCGACATCTTGTAAAAGACGTCCAAAAAACGTCGCAGTACTGACATCGATCCAACGTCGATAAAAAGACGTCGGGCAACGTCATAATATTAACGTACTCCGATGTCTTTTGACGTCTTCCGACGTCAATCCAACGTCCTTAAAACGACGTCGGAACAACGTCGTAAGACATCGCTGATGAAAATTTAATCCAAACCCAACAATATGTGTGCAATTGCGCTCTTCAATAAATATGTGAACTAAGCGTGTTTTTTATTAATGGAAAGAAGTTTGAATAATGGTTGATAAAACATCATGAGGTTTTGTATGATGCACTAGCATAGTTTTTTAACTATTAACATTTTCGAGTATACATTTTTTATAATATATAACTATTCGTTTTAATATTTATATAATATTTAAACAAAATTATTTCTTATCAAAGAAATAATTCCCAAATAGCTACAAGTATAAATTACTAAATAAACGTATAGTATAATATGTCCCTGTGGTGTAGTGGTAAGCGCGTAGCACACAGTTTCTAATAGACCGAGGTTCGATTCCTGCCTGAGGCAACGTTTTTTAGTTTTCAAAAAACACGTTGGATTTACATCGGAATGCCGACGTCGCGCGATGTCCGTTTATCCGACGTCAAATAACATTTCCATTTCCAACGTAAACCCAACGTCGATCCGACGTCGAGATCCGACGTCGCTCGACGTTCGTTCGACGTCGAAATGCCCACTGGGTCTATATCCCTGCTGTCTGGGATTCTTCATTAAAAAAAATTTAAAAAGAATTTTTATATCTTGTGTGAGTAAAACAGATTGGATTAGTCAGCATACATTGTAAGAAATAACTTTTTTTTTTAAATTAAGTTATTTATTTATACCAGAAATAATAATGGTCCTAAAATAAATACTTGGGGAACCCAAGTTTTTATTTTAGGACCATTATTATTTCATTTGTTTCATAGGTTATGCATTGTTTCCTCTCAGTCAAGTAGTCTTTAAACCAAAGTATGTTTAAGTTGTTTACTCCATAAAGTTCTATTTTTTTTTATAGGGTTTCATGATTGACAGTGTCAAATGCTTTGGATTATTCTATGAAAAAGAAAAAATAATCTTTAAAAGCATCCGAAATGGTTTACAAGTCCAAATACCGCGTAATCTGTAGAATGATATTTTTTAAACCCAAATTGTTTGTTGTACAGAATAATGTTTGATACTAAATTATTATAAAGCCTGTTGAACATAATGCGTTCTAGCAATTTAGAGAAACAAGTTAAAACAGAAATAGATCTGTAATTTGAAACATTTATTTTTTCATCAAGGAAACAATAAGGGTTCAATAATTTCAAAGACTGATTTTACTACAATGACGCTGATTTTATCTATGTCTGCACTTTTGTTATTTTTCGTGCGGAAAAAGCATTACATAACTCACTTATTTTTAGTTTAGTCACGATATTATTGGCCGTTTTAAGGAAAGTTTCAAATTTTATGGTGCTCGATAAAACTTTAGCCGCCAGATTTGGACAAATCTCAAGAAAAAAACTGTTTTGTTTTTTAGCTATGGCTTTTTTTTTATCATAAAGAAGTTTTTCATCACTTAACATCAGCTGTTTTTAATCAGTATATTTTTACCAATTATTTCTTTAATTATATTCCAAGTTTTTTGTATTTCCATCAACGTTTTTCAATATTTCAAAAGCTATTGAGATTTTCATAATAAGATTTTTTTTTAAACTACTTGGTTTTTCCTAACAATTTTCTGTAGTTTTTGTATACTATGTTGGTATGATATGTTTTATATCTTAGTTATTTTCATTTTTATTTTTTATTTAACGATTCGAATAAATCTTTTGTCATCCATAGATTCAAAGTAGTCGTAGATTTTAAATTTTGCTTAATTAAACGGAATGCCTTATAATATTCTTTACTGAAAGACGCGAGAAATATTTTTTAAGCGTTATTTGCATTTTGTGTTTTATACACTAAGTTCCTATCAACAGAATTTTTTAATATATGTCGATAATGTACTAAGGAGTTTTTTTTGATTTGATGTACCAAAATTTTTGATTTAAAGGAATTGTTTTTTAATGTTATGTTTTTAGTGGTTAGAAAGATGGGAAAATAATCACTTATGTCGGTTTTGATTATGCCTGTTTTTACGCAGCAATTGTGAAAATTATTTGCACTTAAATTATCGACTAATGTTGACGATGTCTTTGTTGTTCCTGTTGCCTTATATATTTTAGGTAAAAACTTATATTACAAAATGGTGTCAATAAAACATTTAGCATCATTTTTAGATGCATTGTTTAAAATGTTTATGTTTAAGCCTCCAACTAAGTATACAAGTTTCCAATTTTTACTGGTTTTAGTTTTAATGCGAGTTTTGACATTTTTTAAGTTTGCAGCTGGTTGTCTTTAAATAAAGTTTTTGAAAATGTTTTTATCTTTTTTGTTTAACATTTCAATGGATAACAACTCACAATCTATTCAGAGATTAAAAAATACTCAGTTTTTAGGCTTTTTTTCAGACAAAAAAATTTTCATTGTCATTTTCACTTGGCTTTAAATCTTCGTAGTTAAATTTTGTAGAAAAGTTGTTCTCTATTTTAAAAGATAAAATTTAAAAATTAAAAAAAGAAATCTTAAAATAAAACAAAGAAAGGACAAAATAATATATATCCATGAATAAAAGAGTTAAAATAAAACAAACCTAATGGTTGAGGCCCAATCACATATGATTAACCAAATGTACGATATAAAAGCGCATTTCCCAGCTGCTCGTTCTACTTTCATTTTTTCGTTTTAAGCTCTGCTTATTTGTATTGCCTCCGGACAAAAGTCTTCATTGATAAAAATATTTTTTCCCTTCAGACAAAAAGATTTTTTAAGGTTTTATGTTTTATCTTTGAAATCCAAAAATTTTAGCACAACCGTTCTTGGCATTTTTACATTTTACTTGCCAGTTCTGTGAGCTTGTTCTGTTTTAACATCTTAAGTTTCTTCAAATAATATTTTTACCTTTGATTTGGCCTCTTCCAGCTTTCATTTTCTTTCTCTTTTACATCGTCTATTTTTGAATTTTTTTGTCTAGAACAATCTTCCATTTCCTTTAACTTTTTTATATTAAGGAATTCCGAGTTAGCTTTAGTTACTTCACTAACAAATAGAATTATTTAGTTTTGAAAACCAAATGCAGTTTTTATTTTATCATCAATAAGTTGTTGATGAAAATTCAAACTTAGTTTCATTTCTTGTGACATTTTTTGTTATTGACTTGATTTATGCAGCATTATCGTTTATATTTTTTTCAAATTTATCTAAGTGGTCATGAATAATTTTTGCGCTTGAACGTGCAAATGGCTATAATGTTTGTTTCTTGTTGTTTTATTCTTTTTGAATTCACTTAACTGCTCCTTCAATATTTTTTTAATGTCATCTTGAGTAACTGCCATAATTAAATTTATATGGTTGATAAAGTTTTGATTCAAATAGTCTGATAAATAGTATCTTTTAACACAGTTACAAAACCGTATCAGTTTGTATTTTTTCAGTAGTTTAATTAGGGATAAGGTTAAGATTATATGCAGCATTATCGTTTATATTTATAAATATAAACGATAATGCTGCATCAATCAAGTCAATAACAAAAAATGTCACAAGAAATGAAACTAAGTTTGAATTTTCATCAACAACTTATTGATGATATTGAGTTAACCCTAATCCTAATCCTGTATTCATTATAAATAAAATTTTGCCGAGTTTTGTTAATACAAACAAAAACTCTCAATATTTTAATTTTTAAGGCAAAAAGTAAAGCGTGTGTTTTCAAAAAAAAAAAAAAAAAAAAAAAAAATATATATATATATATATATATATGTATATATATATATATATATATATATATATATATATATATATATATATATATACATATATATATATATATATATATATATATATATATATATATATATATATATATATATATATATATATATATATATATATATAGGGAGTAAATTTCCATATTATTTATAATATATAGTAAAATATAAAATATAGAAACTGTTTTTAAATCAACATACTTGATTGACTTGCAGGAGTTCCTGGAGAAGCTAAAAGAAAAGTAATAAAAAATTATTCTGTTAATATTATTACTAATATTATTATCTTTCTAAGTGATCCTAGTATTACTAATTTGGTAATAACTTTTATATTGATAGCAATTTTTTTAAGTATTTTTTTAAATATACATACAGGTAAAAGGAAATCAAAATGTAAATAGATTTCAAAACGTCAGGGTTTCAATTAAGCAACATAAAACCTAATGTTTTCTAACAAATAATGAAAACCGTGAGTAATCTGAACAAAGGATATAATGTTAAGTTATAGGCAAATTAAAATTATCCTTAGAAAAAATTCTCAATTAAAAAGACGTTAAAGAAAGTCTACTAACTATTAATACTCAATAAACAGTGCTAAAATGATGCGTGCACAGAATCCTATATAACTAAAATTGCAATTCAAATTACCTATTTTGTGGTAAGTCACATAACGTTTTGAGGTATCCATTGAAAAAACTGTACAATAAACTTTATTAGCTTTGTTAAGAACTGAAAATAATATGTAGCATTACCAAATTAAAAAAAATAATCATATAAAGAACAAAAATATAAAATTAAGGTTTATAAAAGCCATAGTCTATAATTAATGAAAACAGTCTGATTTGCTGTATTCCGGAACGAATTAGAGGTAAAAAAGAAGTCTTCAACGTTATCTTCATCGCATTCAAACTCTTTGGTAAAATATGAAAAATATTCGAACTTCTTTCCAATTTTAATGACACTAATTTGATTGTTAACTGTTTTTAAATCTTTAACTAGTGAAAATTTTCCTAAATAAATCCGGCCAAAGCATGGTTATTGCTGATTTAATACATCTATTGCATTTAATTGCCTATTTTTCATCACTTTGCAGCTCTTAAAACATTGCGTTTTGATTTTGTTATTTGATTTAACTCTGAGAATTAAAGACGTTTCCACTTTTCCTTTGTTAATAAATCTAACAAAATATCAAAACACACTTTCGTACTCGCACTTTTATTTGTAAACAAACTTTAATATTCAAATGTAAACAAAGAAAACTGACTGTTTGAAGGGGGTTTTATAGTAGAATTATACATAAGTATTGTGTAGACAAAACATTTATTTAATATTGTCGAGAAAAAAATGAAAAAAAAAATGACATTTTTATTTATTTAAGTGTTATTTACCTCGCATTCTGAGATTCCTTAAACCTAGCATTTTGAAGTGGAATATAAAAAGTAAAAAGGGTAAGTGAAACAAATATCTAAAAAAATACTCAGCAGAAAAAATAATGGTTTTATACAAAAGTTTATGATTTTTCTAACAAAAATTGGAAGTATTAAAACATATTATTTAAACTGATGTTCTGAGGTCACTATTCATAAAAGTATATCCTAAATATATATTTAAAGATCTAGAAAAATGGTACCTTAAAAACTTACGCTTTTTGGAATTCTAACAAGATTTATTTTTGACCTCTAAACCATTTATTTTTAATTTTTTTAGTTTTCATATAGAAGTATAATATATCTTAAGCTTTATAAAAATCGGAAAAATAGTTAAAAAAAAAAAGAATTGATAAATAAACTGTTTTCTGCTGAATAAAGAGTTTTTAGCTAATTTGAAACATTATGATGGGGTTATATTTTACATATCATGAAATGTTTTGAAGCAATATTTATCTTTGGTTAAAAAAAAAAATGTTTAAACTGCTATTTGTGCATTTTAAAAAACTAAAACTTTTATACCCTGGAAGTTTTCATTTTTGTCTGGGCTTCTCATAAATGATCCTGTGACCAACCTAGTTTGTTTTAGCATTAGATGGTGGTGCTTTTGCTGCAGATCCTCTATGTCTTTTCTCTTTCAACGATATTTCAATGTCACAAAGTCAACTTTTTTTTCTACGATTCAAAACCCCTTTTTTACACAGACACTGCGCTACTTCTATACGGAACTGACACAATGTCATTTTTGTTATAGTTTCTTTTTGTTTTGAAGGTAAAAGAACAGTCAGGCATTGGGAGACGCTACATCTAACAAATGGAAAAAAAAGGCCTAAAATATCACTTTTTTCATACAACTTTTTGCAAGGTGGCTGTTAATGAGGTCATAACCTCCCATGTTTTTATTGTATTACTTTATTACACTAAGACAATCAACTTGTATCACTTGCTTTGACTTTCTATAATATTTTTATACTTTTGGGCAGATCTTCTGTGCACGTTGATAACATGGTTACTATTTTGATGTTGACCCATGATACGCAACTAACTTCAACACCATCAATGTTTGCATTAAACTCCTCTGAACTGCCTCTTGATATATTTTTCATTTAATATTTTCCATAAGTTTGCAGCTAAGAATGCTGTTTTTTCTAACAGTATTTAACATAAAAATTCTTTGCTGTACCATAAAGACAACTAGTGCCAAAGACATGTAATAGTTACCACAGTCGACAGTTTTTGATCTTTTTTATTACCTGGACAGTCTGATAACAACATTTTTTGCTGCACCAAGTCTTGTTTATCTACCATTATTTTAGTGAAATAATTTTTAGGTTCAGTATATATATCAAAATTATATGCAAGTCCTAATGCCCCTCATAATACAAACAACTTGAAGCCCTGTTTATTGGGTTTTAGAGGCATATATTGCTTCAAATGATGTTAAACTTTTGTTGTACACATTTGTTAGATTTTTCAAAGGTTTGGTGATGTCATTAAATTGAAGATATACTTTCAAGGTTTTAAATTTGTTTATGAACATTGCTGATATAATATTTTCTATACATATTTCAGAATCTCAAAAGCATTGGGTTTTCGAATGTGAGACCACTGACATATACTAAAAGACGCCAATAAATACTTTTAATTTTATCTGTAACATCAAAATCTAAATACAAACTAAGGTTTTTTTAATTAATAAACAAGTTAGTTTGTTGACAAATAAAGTCCATAAAATTATCGCCAAGGAAGTACTTGAAAAATTTTAAGGTCAGTTGTCAGTTCAGATAATTAGTAATCAGAAAACGACAACACAACTAAAACTTTTTTATAGTCCAATTAAAGATTTTTCTCATACTCTTACGACTACAATTTTAATTATCTCATCTCTTAAGCTGTATTTTATTGTCGTCGAAATGTCAAAGCAATTAAATTAATGCGGAAGTACATTAAATTTTATTGTTTTTTAAAAATTTTTTAAAAAACCGCAATTATAACGACTAGAAAGTTTTTTTTTATTAGTGATGTTTTTGTTTTTATTTTATTAAAAAACATTTTTAAAACATGCGTAAATGTTGCTACATCGACTATCTTATAGCCTGACTCGCAACGGAGTGCTGCTACATCGACTGACAAATAGCCTGACTCGCAACGGAGTGCTGCTACATCGACTGACAAATAGCCTGACTTGCAACGGAGTGCTGCTACATCGACTGACAAATAGCCTGACTCGCAAGGGAGTGCTGCTACATCGACTGAGGGTTTGGTTTGGGCAGGCAGTCTATCATTTAAAAAAAATAAATAAATTAAGTTTTCAAACTTTTTCTGGTCTGGTTTATTAACGCGCTCTTTAAAACTACAGTTTGTGGGAAACTCTTTTCAACTACCATGCAAAAGTATATATATATATATATATATATATATATATATATATATATATATATATATATATATATATATATATATATATATATATATATATATATATATATATATATATATATATATATATACTATATATATATATATATATATATATATATATATATATATATATATATATATATATATATATGTATATATATATATATATATATATATATATATATATATATATATATATATATATATATATATGTATATATATATATATATATATATATATATATATATATATATATATATATATATATATATATATGTATACATATATATATATATATTTATATATATATATATATATATATATATATATATATATATATATATATATATATATATATATATATATATATATATTTATATATATATATATATATATATATATATATATATATATATATACATATATATATATATATATATATATATATATATATATATATATATATATATATATTTTTTTGAAACTTTGCAAAAGACTTTATAAACTTTTTAAAATATAAAAAAACATACTAGTAGTTGAAGTCGTCATGGAAACTAAATGATCTAAAATAAAGTAAATAATAATTATATATTTAATATACTAATTATTATTATTGTAAATTGTTTTTATTGCTTTTGCTTTCATTTTTATCATTTACATTTTTATTAAATAATTTTTTTGGTTAATCAATGAAAACATTCACAATAAAAAAATTGAATGGTTTACATTGTATTCTACATTGTATTATACTAATAATGTTTTTTTTATATAACAATAAAACCAAAAACAAAATAATAAAAACCAAAAAGGAAATTTATCATATTTTCAGTATCTGTAGATGAAAAAACATTCAGTATGATTGTATAAATACATAATTAAAAAAAATAAGACTACAAATTGATGATTAAAAAAAAAAATTGGAAATTTTTTATTAGATTTTTTGTGACACTAATCATTTCACTCGTTTTTTTAATGCTTTTATCATCTGACTGCGATTATTATTTACAAATATCAACCTTTTTATGTATTCATTTTGTAACCACAGCAAAAATGTTATCCGTAAACGAGGTAGAGTAATTTCTTAAATCTACCAGAAGACTTCATCATTATAAGTTCATTAAGTTTAATATTCAAAGACAACCGCTGCTTGTTTTCTTGAGGCGTAAAACAACAACAAAAAAATAAGAAAAATAAGAGAAAATGATCAAAAAAAAAAAATCACAACAACAAAAAAAATTAAAAAAGAGAAAATATAAAATTGTGAAACAAATCGCAATAACTTTTTTTAAAATAAAAAAAATAAAAATGATTCACTTCCAAGTTGTAAATTTTGCTGTTCTCTCAGATTTTATAATCACACCAACCACCGTTGGAAATATTTTACCATGTTTAGACACATGTTAATCAATTGGAATAAACGGATTTCATCCACGTGTACTAAAAGAGAGATTCTTCTCTGTTCCTTTTAAATGTTCTTGTGCCAACATTACACAACTCTTTAATAATAGGGAGTAATAAAGATCTAGTCAATTACAGACCAATCTCTTTAACATCAGTGACATGCAAATTGAATGAATCATCTATATGCAAATAACTTAATCCATTATGTTTTTGTTAAACAACATGTTTTTGTTCGCTATAAAGCTTGTATAATAAATATTCTAATAACACTCAGATTATAACTGAATCAGTTGCAAACAAACATTTCTTTAATATAATCTTTTTTGACTTTATAAAATCTTTTGATAAAATCACTTACAAAAAATTCCTAAATATAGTATTCGAAAATTGAATTCTAAGCAAAATTCACAAATAACTAAACTCATTTCTATTTATCCAAATACAACGGTTCTTTATGAATAAATTTTCATGATCGAGTTCCATAATGCTCATGTAACGGTACTGTAGTATTACTTATTTATATAAATGATCTTTCTTACAGCCTCTCCGTCCTACGTAAAATGTATGCTGATGCCACTAAATTATTAGCTAAAATAAATTTAAAAGATAATAATAACAGTATAAGTATACCCCAAATCAATTAAGACAATGTTATTAACTAGACTAATTTCGGACTAATGCGGCTAAAAATAATAAATGTAATGTTATGCATGTTAGTAAAAACAATTTTATGTAAAACTACACTCTTACCAATTACTATACTTATATAAGATTTAATCTTGCAAAAAATACCTGCAAACTAGATCTTAGTCATTTAATATCATGCAATCTTAAGTTTCACCACAAGTATGTGAAGTTGCTTCTTTAGCTGTTAAAACTATTAACAAATAAAAGGTGCTTTTGTCAACTTTGATGTTAATCTCTGAATAAAGTTATTTACTTGCAACGTACGTCCACACCTTGAATTTGAATAGCAAACTTGGAATCCTTACCTCAATCAAGATATAAATCTTCTTGAATCAATTCAATAAATGGTGGCACAAAAACGGCATTACAAATTTAAATGCAAAAAAGTTACCATTACCTTAATAGGTCGTAGACGTAAGCGTAGCTATATTATTCAGCAATATAAAATATCACTTAACATCAACAATACACAATGAATCAAATGACAAGTAGTTATTCAAGTTTGTGCAATTCAAATTTAATCACAACTAATACAAGTAATAATAAAAAGTTATCACCCTAAACATCATTTTTTTACTAATTGTATTGCTTCTAAATAAAATGAACAAGTCTAGCAGAAAACAATCGCCGAAGATACAAATGGTTCAAGATATTGCTTGACATATTGGACGATTAATCAGCAAAACTGACACAGAGCGTCTTCTACTGTTGACGTACTCCGCATTATTTATCTCTTATTTAAACCCAGTAAAAAAAAGACGTCTAGCCGTTATTGTAAATTGGTTGGATATTTGTCGCGATGCAAATTAACTAAATTCCAACAATGTTTCAACGTCGGCATAACGGTCCTATTGTAACAAACGTTGGTGAACGTTGGGTGAATATTGTTATTCTATCAAACGTTGGAGCCACGTCGGAAAAACGTTATCATCTTATCTAACAACGTTGGATCAACGTTGCTTGTTTAACGTAAAACCAACTTTGGTCTGATTAACGTTAAAACACTTTTAAAACAACGTTGGTTTTTTAGGTTTTTACTTTTGACATCAAAGCAACGTTGGCACTTCAACGAAAAGACAACTTGATTTTACAAAAAAAAAAAAAAAAAGAATCGCATACCACTGATCTGTAATACTTATACTTATTAACATTACTTCTTTTAATCCTACGATCGAATCAAATATCAAGCAACTTTTATTTATCATTTTAATGATAAAAAAAAGTTACTAAAACTTTATTTGAATTTCAAAAGCTGATGAAGGTTTGTTAATTTTTTGTACACTTTGTATATTATGTAAAACATATATAATATTTCACATAATATTTTATTGACAAATAAATAATGCAATGATAGGTTATTTAAATAACCATTATTAAACTGTTTAATAGTTTAATTTAATGTTAATAAAATTAGAGTTTATTTTTTAAGACATTTAATTCAGCAGTTTTAATACATAATACCATTTCCTTTTTGTTATTTTTGTTATTTTTAGTTTAGTTTCTTGTGGAACTTTTTTCTATAAATTCTAGACTAGAAATTATCTAACCCTTACTTATAACTTGTGTAATGTGTTTCTTTTATGAACTTGTATAGTTGTAATTTTTAATTCAAAGATTAGAACTTCATTTTTTTGTAACTTATTAGAAAATAAGCATTAAAATTATAAATTTTGTATTGTTATCTCTTCTTTTTTTATTTTTTTATTTAAATATAATAGTGCTTTTAGTAGTTACGTTTATTAGGAAAAACTAACATTTTTTATGTATTACTTAAAGTAAAGATAATAATTTGCTTTCAATTTGCAATATATAGTTATATAATGTAGTTAATCATAAGTTTTTTATTCTTTTTCTAGTTAACTGATATTAATATATAAACAATTTAAAAAACAAAATTAGATTATATAAATTTCAAACTCTTACATTAAGTCTACTGATAAAAAATGTATGACATGCTACTCCTACAATTTTATAACTGACACTGACTCTCACAAATTTGAGTCTCAACTCCAGAAAAAGGTTTTTATTTCAACTTACTTTTATTATTTATATTTTATCGTAATTCACCTCTGGGTTTACTACCAGTGACGTAGTAAAAATTGAACTCAGAACATCTACCTCTATAATTATGCATTTAGTGTTCATTTTATTCTTTCAGGTTTTTATTTATTAATTTAATATTAGCTATTATTTTCAATATGCTATTTTCAGTACTTAGACCTACAAAGTCTTTCCTCTGAAATCTAAAATTAAAACTGTTTTTAAGAATAGAAAAACATATCCTACAGAAACTGAAACAGAATATCTAAATTATTCACCAGAACATAGCCATAACAAACTAAATATTGGTTTGAATCAATTACACACTTAGACAATATTTAACTTTCAAAGTGAATTACAATCTCATAACTCCCTACTTTCAGAGTTGAAATAAATATATATATATATATACATGTATATATATATATATATATATATATATATATATATATATATATATATATATATATATATATATATATATATATATATATATATATATTATATATATATATATATATATATATTTATATATATATATATTTTATATATATATATATATATATATATATATATATATATATATATATATATATATATATATATATATATATATATATATATATATATATATGTATATAGATATATATGTATATATTTATAAATATATATATATATATATATATATATATATATATATATATATATATATATATATATATATATATATATATATATATATATATATATATATATACGTATATATATATATATATATATATATATATATATATATATATATATATATATATATATATATATATATATATATATATATATATATATGTATATATATATATATATATATATATATATATATATATATATATATATATATATATATATATATATATATATTTATATATATATATATATATATATATATATATATATATATATATATATATATATATATATATATATATATATATTTATATATATATATATATATATATATGTATATAATATTTTAGATAAGCTTGTGATCAAATATTAAAAAAAAAACGTTTTGTCCATTTTTGAACTTATCAAAAGTCATTTGTTTGTATACCATTTTTTTAAATGTTAATTAGATAACCATTATTTGTTCAAAACATAATTTTAAACTTGAAAAACTTTTGATTGGTATATAATACGTTGGCTTTAGTGAAGCATGTTGTGAATTTTTTGTTAAAACTTCTTTTTTTTTCTTGCCCATCTGCAAATGTATGGTCGCTACAGTATATGCTATAAATTGTTTTGTTGTTCAATCTTTTTTTTCACTTTTAAACTTAGTATAAAAATGATTAAAGCATTAAAAAAGAAAAACGGTTCAAATTAAAGAAGAATATTATTATGCAATCACGGTGACATATCAAGAGAACTATTGAGACAAAATAAAACAATTGGCAACAGTTTTGAATCAAATCATTGTGTAATAATAGTTTTTTTTTTTTTGCATAAAAACATTTTATTTATATATAATTTAAATCTGTATTAAATAATTCAATCAAGTCAGACCGAATATATTTATATATAATTCAAATCTGTTTTAAATAATTCAATCATGTCAGACCGAATATTCTTTTGCCTAACACATTTATTTGGTTTTATAGTGAATTTAATATAAACAATTTAATATAAGGTGCTTTTAATCACGGTTTGATCTCATTCTTTTTTGCCGCCTGAACAATTGTAAGAGTTGCAATTAATTATCATTGTATTTCTTGCAACTACTTTAAAGGTGACTGGGACACTTTCCATGATTTCATCGTAATGATCCTTGGCTAGAAATCTATTATCTGGCTGACATGGAACCTTTTAGTATTTCTCAACAATTTTATAAGTTAATAGGCCTCAATCATCTCTATGATACCCCTTTATTTGTGCTGCTAAAATTAGCAACTAATTTCCTATAAATTGTCAAAACAGTTTTCAAGATAAAGGCAATTGCTAGAAATCATAATAAAAAGGTTAGTCTTGCGTCGACGATTCTCAGGATAAAAAATATTGTATTTCTTCTCAAAAGTTAAGCTTTCGAGACTTCATGAGAGTTTTTATTTGTAACCACAATCAAGGAAAAGTCTGTTTATTTTTCTTCTCTTGCATGATTCAGATTTTGTTACCTCACCTTTAAATGAAGCTTAGTAATTAGTTGAAAACTTGTTATCAATCTCATCTCTTGATTTTACTAACACGTCATACCTGATATAAGCGACAAGCAGGTTAATCCATTGCTTGACATTAGTATTACTCCTGTTTCCGAATTTACAAATATTTTCTGCTTAGACTCCTACAGTTTGTACATATGAAGAAGTGTACATTGGCGAATTAGCCGAATAAAGCATTTAAAGTCTAATTTAACTAAGTCTTGGTTCTATTTTACTTCTGCCCCATCAATCAATAACTATATGCTATTTAGTAAAAATAGTATCAGTTTTAAAAGGAAGTATAGCAATTTATGTTTAAAACGGTGTAATAGCATGGAAACTAGACAATTCTAAGTAAATAAAAGTTTTAAATGCAAAGAGTTCGAACAACTTTGGGTTTAAATAAAGTTACAACCAGAAAAGTTCTAAAGAAAAACTAAATTATATAATTTGCGATCTTGTTTATAATAAATACTTAGTTGACGCAAAAGCATGTAATAACTTAATTTGCACAGGTGACTTTAGCTTTGCAGACATAACATAACAACCTGATTAAAATATCACAGCTTATATTAAAAATAGAATACAGGAAAAATCTTTAATACAAGTTTAATAAAGGTCTCTGTAATAACCACATCAAAAGCATGTCAAATATACAAATTCTAGGGAAAATGATGAACATTAAGATAACAAGTAACCTAACTATATTGAGGTTCTGCTTTAACATAACTTTTTCTTCAGATTTTCTTAAGAAATTATATTTTTTAGGTGGCAGCATAATTTAAGCATTAATAATCAAAATAGTTGTAACAGCAAAAAAAAATTAAAAATACGTTAAATTTTTTAAAATAAATACATTTCTAAATGACATTAATTGGAAACTTAGATATAAAGATTGCGATATTCAGAAATTTTACTCGATGCAGTATAACATCTATAATGAAGAAAGTGCCATAAACTTTTTCCAAAATCATTAAAACTACCGCCAAAAAAGACAATACTGGATTACAGACAAGTTAATGAAGTTAGTTAGACTTTAAAAATAGCTCTGGTACAAATGTGCGAACTCAAAAAAGAAAACTCTACTGCAAATCAAGAAATATACACATGTCAAAAATATAATGAAGACAAAAAGTAAACAAGAATCATGTAACTTTTAAAAGGTACCTTACAACAAGCTCAACTGGAAAAGACCTTTTGAGTTGTGCTTGTTGTTAGGTACCATTAACTCATTTGACTTCTTTTACTTGCAACTCGTTTAATAATAATGTATTACTAGTAAAAGAATAGTGAGCTATCAAACATCAGCCTTAATAATAATATATTATTAGTAAACGAATAGTGAGCTTTTAAACATCAGCCTTAACAATAATATATTATTAGTAAACGAACATTGAGCAATCAATAATTGACCTTAATAATAATATTCTATTTATAAACAAATAGTAAGCAATTAAAAACATCTTCCTTTATAATAACAATATATTATTAGTAATTAAATATTAAGAAACCAACATTGGCCTTAATCTCAGATTCAAATCAAAGGAGCAGCAATGAAATAACATAAGCAACTTTTCTCAACAACTAATTTTGATGAGTTTTTTTAAAAGATCCATTGATTCAGTCACTAAAACCTATTGCAAACAAAAGTTTTAACTATTGAAATTCAAGGGTACAACGATTGATAACGTTTTTGTTTTCAAATACCTAAAAACACTAGATACAAAAATAAGAAATAAAAATAGTTTTATGGGCAAAAACAACATTAGTCTGTTTGTTTTATATGCTTGTAACACACTAATTGCATTACTATTAACTTTGATTTTCCAACTTTTATTAAAATCTGGAAAAGTTTCAATGTTTTGACTCACAGCAAATGTTACACCTATTCAAAAAAAAGCATCAGAATATAACCAGCCAATAAAAGACTAAAATTCTATGCAAATTAATGAAAAATAGTAAGAACATTTTTGAATAATGATCATTTAGTGATAAAGAAATTGCTTTCCGAATTTGAATATATATTTTTTCATAAACGACTTCGGTTACAAATATCTTAGAAACAATAACAATTTTGACTTATTCTTGGTCTCCAAACATTTTATACCATACACTTCGAAATATATTCTTAGTCTCGAAAGGTATGGCATAAATTACATGTTTTTAAATTGGATCAAAGCCTTCTTAAATTACCGCAGACAGCACGTTTAATTATTTTTTCGCTGAAACTACTAAAATCTTTTGTTCTCTAGCAAAACAATATTGACGTTCTTGTTTTATAGTCCCATATGTACCATATATGGTTCAGATCAAAACAAAAAAATCAGCATATATATATATATATATATATATATATATATATATATATATATATATATACATATATATATATATATATATATATATATATATATATATATATATATATATATATATATATATATATATATATATATATAAACATTACGTTTCTTATCTACTTATTCGCAATTTTGATTTTTCAAATGAAATAATTGATTGCACAACACATGAATTGTATATAATGTGTAATACGTGTTTAAAATAATTTTGTTCCATTTTTAGGTCGACTTTCTTCTCTAATGGCTGACTTGATTATGGCTGATAATGGTTTACCTAAAGCTATATAATAATAAACACTGTTTCAATTTTAATTATTTTTGTTACTTTTATGTTGAATATATTATTTTTATTAAAGTTTATATTTTTATTTTGACTCAAGAAAAATATGTTTTTTGTTTCTCAAGTAAATAACTATATTTTTTATTTTTGAAATTATTGTTTTAAATGGATATATTGATCGTTTTTATATATTTCCGTTATTTATTTATATGTGAATACAAAATCATTTATACTTTATTCACCTTTTGTACTCGAAGTTTCCATTTGGATTAAGTATCGATTTTTGGCACAAACAACAGGTTTAATAACTTCGACAGTAAAAACAACTTAATTGAATGAATTTGTTAAGAGTTTTTTTTTACAAAAAACGCTTTTATAAAATATATCAAACAGATAAAGCTAACATATTTAAAATAATAAGTCTCTATTGCCCGTTTTTCAATGTCCAAATTTGCTTTTTAAATAAATCTTAATGAGAGAGTAAAATATTATTATAGCCTAAATTTCCGAAAACACCAAAAGATATGTTGTGTAACTGTCTCTTGATGATCATTATATTATTTATAAAATATTGCAGTATATTAAATAAAGTACATATCTTGAATGTTAAAGACACTTTTATTATGTAAAATATAATATAGAATATTAAGTAAATAAGTACAGTTCTGAAGTATAGTAAATTAATTGTTAACTAAAAACTTTAAATCGAATAAAGTTTTGTTATTTACTTAAAGTATAGCGAGCAAAATCTAAGATTAAGGTTAAAAATAATTGGGTGTAAAGAAGACTTACCGCGACCCGTTTCGTACGGGTCTTGACGGCTAGTTACTATTATTATTGTTATTATTTTTATTATTATTAAAATTGCTTTAAAAATGATTTACGGAAAATAAATAGGTTTTTGTTTTTGTTGTTGTTGTTGTTGTTGTTGTTATTTTTGTTGTTGTTGTTGTTGCTGTTGTTGTTCTTGTTGTTGTTGTTGTTAGTACCAATGTACTTACTAGTATTAACTGTATTAAATAACCCTAATAATAGTGAAAACTAGTCCTGAAGATGACCTTACAAAACAATTACGAATTAAATTTAAAGAGATATAAGAACTTTTAATAACGTTGTTTTTGATTAGTTTTTGGTCTTCTTAAATCTTTTTTATGAATAAAAAACTAATAAATAAAACAGAAAAAGTAATTCATCAAATAAAAAAAGTGGGTGAACGTGTATACTCTACTCCAAAGTAATAAAAACAGGAAAAATGATAGCCACAAATTTATTAAATCATGAAAAAAAAATTAATTATACAGAGGGTTTTTTAATTATGAAATGTTGTTTTTATATTAAATACTTACATGATATATGTAAAACACTTGATTTAATTTTCTAATAACTCCAAGGCTTTTCAGTTTCAGCTTTCAAAAATGTTCAACTTAAAAACTTCAAACCAGAATTTAACTAATCTAAACGAATAAAATTAAATGTTTAATTTTCAGGTTTTTTCTTCAAGACTACTTTAAGTTATCAAACCTTATTTATTAAGGCCAGATAACAGTGACTAATGGTTTTTTTATTTTTCAAAAACAGTGGTAATACTAAGATTGCTTTTTCTATTAGCAAAAAACCTTTCAAATAATTATCAAATTAATCAAAGACATTTATTTCTTCTAACCTAACTTCTTGCTGACCGAGTAAAAAATTTAAGCTAAATTTTATCAAAGATACATAGAGAGAGCTTGTTTTTTAAGTAAAAAACAAAATTTAAGAAAATTCTATTTTTTCTATAAGTTTTATAAAAAAAAGAATCAGTTATACACAATACGAGGATAAAATACATTTATAACCACGCTGATCAAAATTGAAAGGCCTTTATGGTTCGCCGCTGAGTTTGATTACAAAACGTCCGGAAAAAAAAATGATTATAAATTTTATGATAATTAGTAATCTTAAACTTGTTTAAGATTACTAATTATATAATTTTTCCAAATTTTATTTCAATAGTTAGCTTCTTAAAATATATAAAAAGAGTTGTGATAGAGGTATGGTATTAAATATACAATGATGATATAAAAGTTTAATGAATTTAGGTTAATAATGTCTTAAACTTATTAATAATAACTATAAGCTACCTAGAATAATAGATTGCAAAGATTATTACTCATGTTCAAAAGATGTTATGACTGCGTTTCAAACTCATTTACAATTTTTTTTATTTATTTATATTTAATATTTGTTTAGACTTATAATACTTATAACAATTAAGGTTAAAAGCTTAAAAGAATAGTTTTTGTCTTGTAGATTTGTAAATTCATAGAGTTTTTTTCAAATTTGTAGATTTTTTAATTTTTCAAATTTTCTTTGTTCCATCAAATGTATTATTAATGCATGCATACAAACATCTCACAAATTTTGACTTTACAGATTATTATCACTATATGTACGTCTTAAATACTAATTATTATAAAAACAATAGAGTTTTAAAAACAATTGATTCCTTTAACTTCGCATTTTTTAAGCATAAGAAATTTTGAAATGTAACACTTTCCCATTCTTTCTTCAAATAATATTTCTAATAATATTAACAACAACAGTAACACAAATAATAATAAAATATGACTAAAGTAAGAAAAAGAAAGAAATCAATATCAATTTTATTAACAACTATGTTTAAGTAAAGACATTATTTTGCTTCTTGGTTGTTTAAAAACAGTTTCTTTGTCAGAGGTTTGCATTTTGCTAAACTAAATGATTTTTTTCCTATAAGTAAAAAAAAAGCCAATATTTATTTATTTTTTTTAACGGTTGTTTTACTTTGATTGCCACCAAACCTGAAATCGTTATCTGAGATGACTCGGGGTTTGAAAACAAAAAAGCTAAGTTTATATAGATATATATTGATAGGTAAAAGCATTTTGCGTGCGTTTGAGTATCATGCAATAACTTAGAATAAAATTATAAATTTTAGCCATTGTTTATATTTGCCTAACTTCAATGTTAAATCTTAAAAATATTATACAAATGGTTGATTGTGATCATGATGACGATGATGATGATGATGATGATAATGATGATGATACATATATATATATATATATATATATATATATATATATATATATATATATATATATATATATATATATATATATATATATATATATATATATATATATATATATATATATATATATATATATATATATATATATATATATATATATATATATATATATATATATATATATATATATATATATATATATATATATCGAAACTTCCTTAAGTGCCAAAACACATTTTTTTAAATTCTTAGGTGCTACATAAAAGTAGAGTTTAAAAAAAGTAATCTAAAATTATAAAACTTTAACTTCAAGAGTCGTACTCCTGAGTCATGTTTCTTATATGAATTAGCATTTTCTAAACAAATAACTTGAGTTTAGTTACAAAATTTTCTTTTTAAGTTTGAACTATAATTGACTTGTTTAACAAAGTATAATCTTTCTAACTTTTACTAAAATAAACTCTCATAAATATAAAGCATTTTTTCCAAAAGAAATTATATTCTTTAGTTGTCAAATAATAACAAAAAATGTTAAAAAGAGGAAAAAAATCTCTTTCCTGCCAAATCCATAGACCATATGGCGGCCAATATTAAGTTTTACTACTATTCTCTAAATTGGTAAGAAATTTACTATTTCAGCAATTATTATTATTTTCATACAAACGAGGTCTCAAATCATGCTTCAACCGTTTTAATAATTTGAACTATTTAATGCTGATTTTCAGACATACTTTAATATTTTATTGTATAGTTTTCACAGTAGCATAATGAGATAGATTAAATTTTAATGCCTTGTAAAATAAATATGTTTAAGTTTATTGTACTATGTATTAGCTGCAAAAAAAATATTGTTTTAATTGTGTATTCATATGTCTATATATATATATATATATATATATATATATATATATATATATATATATATATATATATATATATATATATATATATATATATATATATATATATATATATATATATATATATATATGTATATATATATATATATAAATATATATATATATATATATATATATATATATATATATATATATATATATATATATATATATATATATATATGTATATATATATATATATATATATATATATATATATGATATATATATATATATATATATATATATATATATATATATATATATATATATATATATATATATATATATATATATATATATATATATATATATATATATATATATATATATATATATATATATATATATATATATATATATATATATATATATATATACAGGAGAGTAAAAAACATTTCTCCTTTAAAAAATTTTATTTTTATTTTATTTAAAAAATCTTTATTTTATCTTATAATTTTATCTTTTCGTAGAAAAAAATATTATTTTCAAATAAACTCACTTTTAAAAAAAGTGTGACTTATCACGTTTTCAAAATACAGCGTTCAATTGTGAAACAAATTAAATCTTAACTAGAATTACTGACTTTTCAATGACTATCGAAAGAAAAAAATAGTTCCCTGAATTTTCCAGGTTTTCCACAACTTTGGCCAATATTAAAATATTTTTCGGATTTTTCAGGTACAGTACAGACCTTGTCCACTCTTAGCAAAAATAAGCGATAGCTGTCTCTTCCGCACCCGAGAAAACTGCAACATTCCTGTGAAAGTTTATGACCACTTTTTCAAAGAAACTAAATCTGTAAAGGTTGCATTTTCGAGTCTTTCAAGATAAAAATCGAAAAAATGCCCAATTCAGCTAGGAATCACGATGAAAAAAGGAAAGTTGTTTGCCTCCTGTGTCTCAAAAAGGCAAAGAGACAGCTCGCAACATTTTTGCATGAAAAAATTCAACAAGTCTACAGACAAGAAAATCAATTTTGAAGATGTAAGAATACCGCAAGGGCTGTGTGAAACTTGTAGAACTGCTTTGAGGAAACGTTATGAAGGACATCCTGGTGAATTACCAGCTCTTTTTGACTTTGAAACTATCATTGTCAAAGCATTCACAAGACGAAATCCTTGTGAATGCTTGATTTGTTGCATTGGCCGGTTGAAATTGACTGAAAAGCACCCTCTTGACACTGACACGAAAGAAGAAAAGATTTATGACAAAAGGTGCTCAAAATGTCTGTCACTAATTGGTAGGGGATTGCCACATCAATGTTCTATATCACAGTTTAGAGAGAATATAAGATCTCTGGCAGCCAATGATGGTAAAGTTTCGGAACAGATTGCGTCTTCAACAATCACAAGCAAGGATGCATCTCCACATGGAACAGTTTGACTTTCGCAAACCAAGGGTGGGAGAGCATTGCCTATAACTCCAGGTAAATATATGGTTACATCATTTAAGTATTTTGGTAAAATATTTGCTGTAAAGTTAATTTTCATATGTTTTAAGACCATTAAGTGCAAAACAGCTATTCAAGAATCATCCAGTTGTAACAGCGCAAGATCTTGCTCAGGCTCAAATAAACACAGGGTTGTCCAATAATGGCATCAGAAAGCTTGCAACAACAATCGGCAATGTAAGCACAACCAAAGTCTTGGAGCCATACATTGTTAAAACATTTCAAAACCTTGGGAAAAATCTTCAAGAGAGCTTTACTCAGACCACAGCGGCATCTACAAACGCGGACAAAACAACTTTAAATTACATTGTGGCACATTGCGAGAGTCTCAATAGTCTTATTGAAGATTTACTTTTGACACGGAAGATTTTTTTAAACCTCGTCATTAAATTGGGGATTGACGGCGGTGGAGGGTTTTTAAAAGTCTGTCTCGGAGTTTGTGAATTGGACGCAGAGACGCAAAGTAAAGCTTCACCTCCAAGCAAACGCTTGTTTACATCACAAGCATCAAAGGATAAAGGAGTGAAAAAACAACTTCTTGTGTCTGTGGCTAACGGAGTTCAAGAAAATTACATCAATGTGAAAGTCATTCTTTCCCTTCTCGACATTCAAGAGGTCATTTTTGTTATATCTTGTGACCTGAAATTGGCTCACATCCTGTGCGGTTTGCAGGCTCATTCATCCTCTCATCCATGTGCATGGTGCACAGCGGAAAGTTCTAATTATGCGAAATGTGGTACTCATATAACTTTTGGCTCTCTGAAGCAGTCATCCATGCGTCCTCTGCAGCAAAAGTTTCAACATTTGATTTTCTTTCACGGACGTAGGCAGATGATTTTAATTTTCACATTTTTGGAATCGCATGGTCATAAGCTTTCACAGGAATGCTGCGGTTTTCTAGGATGCGGACTGGACAGTTATCTCCTATTTTTACTAAGAGTGTGTTCAGAGTTTGTAAATATTTTTTGTAATAAATTTAAATGAACGTTTATATAATGAAAAATAATGAACCACAAGCAACTTTTTAAGTTTATGAATGTAACAAAAATTTTTCGTTGGATTTTAAAGTTGGTGTCACCAAATTTGAAATCC